TTTTTGTTGTAGGAGGAAGATGTAATGATGATTCCTGTGGTAGAGGCTATGACTGGAACTTCTGCAATGTCAAGATTTGTATCAAACAAAACAGGGCAGTATGAGGTTCGTGACTGCGGGCATCTTTATTGCAAAGGCATGGCAAGCTGGGTTAGGTCAGAAAAGATGGAGCGCCCGGTCGAAATTGGGGTGAATTTGTTGAATGAAATATATGCTTATCTGCATTGCTGCAAATACTGCTGAGTGGCTGATAACAATTTCTGCGGAGGAGTGAAGGTTGGTGCCATGATCGTTGGTAAGATAACAGAACGTAATGTTTTGCTTTTTTTGGATTCTAGACGTGATCGCGGCCGTGCTCCTTGCAGCGTCTTTTCTTGTTCACACCTGCTTTTCTCGTCTTGCTCTCAAGCCTCCTGTGGGAGCTGGTGCATATTGCAACGTTTGCCAACTCGCCCATTCACTGTGTTTTTCCACCACCTCGGTAACTGGTATGGATTGCAGCCAATGGAATCCTTGATTCAGCAAAATCCCACCGTCCTAGTACATAAAATTACTTGACAACTAACACTGAATTTTAGCTGTAACCGCATAGCTGCGTGCTTGCTGTTAGTCCAAAAGGTACCGAAAAGTCGCTAGCAAGCAAGCACGAATGTGACCTAAGAGGTGACCGAAGCACACAGTTCGAAAGGAAGGAGATTACCTTCACTCTTGACCGCTCTATGCAATGGCAGCCTCGGAAGACTCTTCATCGAGGAGGGGTAACTTAGGTGACGAGAAATCCTATATATTGGGCTGCTGGCACGCGAAAATACCAAGCATCGACTTTAGCCAACCTCTTCAGTTCACAGACCCATCTTTCAACTCTTCCAATATCCATCCGCGACGATGAGTTCCCCTTTCAAAAAGGCACAGTCACCGGCACCTGAGGCAAAGTCGCCAAAGGGGAAGGAGAGTCCGTCCACACCTGGTCCCGCGTTCCCAGCGGGAAATAAGTCGCCCACACCCGGTCCCGCGAAGTCGCCCACGCCTGCTCCCACGTCTCCAGTGGGCAATGAGTCTTCGGAGCCTGTTGGTCTTTTGCCCGGTGCCTATTGGGGCCAACAGGTTCGTTTCATCTACATATGCATCCTCTTTTCGATTTCCACCAGGCGTTTGTCATGCAGGAGCTCCGGGCGGTCTCGCCTGCCCAGATCCTATGTGTTAGGCAGTGGCAGCATTTGCGTCTGACGGACGCATACCCATTGCCCTACATAAGAACAGGTTTCCCTCACTTCGTCCGACGACTCTCTTCTCCTCTGCTCTTAGCGAGTGTGCTAGATTGATCGTCAACGAATGAGACATCCATGATCACAGCGTTTCCATCTATTATTTTGAGAATGGTGAATGCTAATAAAAAGTCTCATACACGTACAGGAGCTAGATGAGGACAATGACTCGACCCTGGGAAGTGAGTACGCTGAGAGTTCGACCGCCTCGATCTCTTCCAGCATCTTGCACTACCGTAATGTCCTGGGACGGACCTACCACAGCGATTCTGTGACTGACACGGAGTATTGGTACGTCTGAATTGGAAAATATTCGCAGTATGAGTGCTTTTTCGGTTGATGTTGTGGAGCTGAACTAACTACTGGTCCATGTGCACTTTTCAGGGGCCCTAATGATGCAAAGGCAAATGAGATGTTGGATATCTTGCACGCGGCTCTAGTTATGTTGTTCGATGGAAAGCTGTATACGTCCCCGCTCAATGAGAAGGAGATCAAGAACGTTATTGATATTGGTACCGGTACTGGTAAGCTGATTAACCTGGACTGCCCTCTCTCCCCTTTACTCCACTTTACTGACCATCTTTACATGCAGGACTCTGGGCCATGTAAGATTGACCTGTCCGATTCCTGGGTCGATGTTCGATTACTAACATGTTATTGTTTTTTATAACAGTGACTTTGCGGACGATCACCCCAATTGCAACGTAATTGGCACTGACATTTCCCCTATTCAACCTAGCTGGTTACCTCCCAACACCTGCTTCGAGATCGTTGACGCAAGTAAGGAGTGGACCTATCAAGAGAATTACTTCGACTTTATTCACCTTCGCTGGCTTATCGGCGTCATCAAGGATTGGGATGCCCTGTATAAGGAGGCTTACCGGTGCTGCAAGCCGGGCGGTTGGATTGAACACCTTGACACCGATGCTCAATTTTCATGCTTTGATGGAACGATGCAGGATGATTCCGCTATGGCCCAGTGGGGTACAATTTGGAAAGAGGTTGGGCGGAAGACTGGGATCGAGTTCAACGTGGCTTCTTCAGACACGATGGAAAAGGGAATGAAAAACGCTGGGTTCACCAACATTACGTCGGAGGATTACTATGTAAGATTTTCCCTGTCCGTGAGCCCTTGAGACGAGGTGAAGCTGACCCCGAGATCTAGGTTCCCTCCGCGCCCTGGTCTGATGACCCGAAGTTGAAGCAGCTGGGTCTCTACCAATCTGCGGCGCTGACACATGACATTGAGGGCTTCCTTGTCTATTTCATGCCCAAGTACCTGGGGTGGACGCCGAAGGAAATCGCGAACTACGCCGCTACTATTCGCGGAGAATTCAGGGAAGCCAAGATTCATTCTAACGCTAGGTGGCGCATGGTGAGGGCGCAAAAGCCGGTGGATGCTTAAGCTTAAGGTGGATAACCGACGGGAGGCCATGCCAAACGCCGGTGGGTGTTGTGGATGTGAATATTCCAGCGGAGGATCGTACATGTTGTCACACGGACATCGCCCACAGTCCAGAGTCAGGGTCGGAGGGCTCAGCAGAGCCTCAACGTGTGACGAACCGTTGCAAGCACAGGAGTATTATCGCTGGGATAGAACAATAGAGTAACGGAGTAGTAGCCGAAAGGTACTGGTAGATTGTGATAGCTATTGCTTGCTGAAAGCCCAGTATTTGGACGGCCTGGGAGGCCCTCCTTTATACTGTTTCTTCAGTGTAAGCCGTTGCGCCGTTGCTTAACGGCGCCGGCGCCCGGCGCGGCTCTGATTGGTTTAGTTATTTGCTTACGTAAGTCATCGCTTATTGAATCGTAACACAAAGCTCGGCATCAGCCTCGAGATACCCGGTGGTCTTCGGCCGCAACACTCACCTCGGCCGGACTCTCGGCCACGGGTACTGCTTACCCTAACCCCTCCTGACACCACCGGGCTAGTGAGCCAACCATAGAGGTCCGAAGACGCTGATGAAACACCATGAAGCAATCCCCAGTCATCCCAGAAGCAACCACAGACAACCAAGCAAGAAGCAGGGCGCCCGGGTGAAGGACAGCGCCAGAAGGAAGATGGAGAATGGATGAAAGCATTCAGGAAGATCCACCCGTATGCAGATTGCTAGATAGATGTCTTGAAGCCTCAGGCGACGAGGCTTGATGCGTACCTCAAGTTCGTACCGATTCCCTTTGGCATAAGAAGGCCTTGAAGCCCAACCTTCTCCTGGAGGTTGAGAAGGGCAACAAGGCCTTTGAGACGAAAGAAGATTATCAGCTGAATTGAACTCTTTGTTACAACCCAGAACACTGCCCTTGTCACACATGTATCGTGCCGATGCTTTTGGTTGTCAACGTGGCCAGTATCTTACGTAAACAGCGATTTGGATATTTGTATGCTAGACTCACCGGTGCGGCACGTCTCATGCCCTACGGGAGGCGGAAGTAGACGTTAAAAATAACAACAACAACAACAACAACAAAAAAGCGATTTGGATATGAATTCTCACCATTTTTATACTGTCATTTTGGAAACTGTCATTCAAGACTATGGATCCCCTTGCAACCTATCTTTCCACCCGCTCCCCGCCCCCGTCTAACGAACATCGTTCATCGCTGTTACTTCAGCCTTACCCGTGTGACGAACCGTTACACGCACAGGAGTATTCTTGCTGGGATCGAACAATAGAGTAACAGAGTAGTAGCCAAAAGGTACTGGTAGATTGTGATAGCTATTGCGTGCTGAAGAACCCTGATAACGAAGGCTGGGAGGCCTTCTTATATACTAGTCTTCAGCCCTGTCCCGTGGTCCCGCAAACCCGGGACACGGGGCCGTCCCGTAGGCTCGGGACCCCGGGTCCGATCTGATTGGTCAATCTATCTAAGTCCGTTGATTGGATCGTAACAACCCGTAACATCTACCTACCTAGCGTATGCCCACCGAGTCCCTGGACTGGGTTGTTGTTGTTGTTGTTGTTGTTGTTGTTGTTGTTGTTGTTGTTGTTGTTGTTGTTGTTATTTTTAACGTCTACTTCCGCCTCCTGCAGGGCATGAGATGTGCCACAGCGGTGGATCTAGTGTACAAAGATAGAAGCAATGCGCTGGTACACTCTGTGGCGCCCAGTGTCCCTATTCCATCCACCAACCCAGTAATCCGAAGGCAAACCGAGGCCTATAGCCAGTGTATCTAACGTGCTGCCCATAGCGTAAACGCGGCCCAGCACCTCTATCAACCACCCAGTGGACGAGCTAGCGATGTAGCGAAATCCGTGAAGACAGAAAAGACAAAAGAAAGGGAAAATCAAAAACACAGAAACACTCTACTCTTCACCGCTCTCTCCCTCGCTGTCGTCCCGAATGATATCTATAATTTGCAAGCGATACTCATTTTATACCTTTGGCTACACCGAACAGCACCTGATAGTCTGTACCTTCAGCTATCTCATTTAGGCAGACCAGACCTGCCGTTCGTTACACCCGTGGATGGAATCCCTTGCTCTCGTTACCATGTTCATAAACTCCTTCCCACCACTAATGCTAGTCCTTGCAACCCATTCTGGCATGTTAATGCAAGATGTCTTATCTATAACATACCAACTCC